CGCTCACTCCCACAAAATATTCCATTCCACAAGAATCTCTGGTTAATGAGCGATAACTCTATAACAATCAGTGAGTCAAGACAATACTTTTTTCTATTTATTACACAAAAAACATCTGTTTAATTTTCCTATAAAAACAAATATAGCTAATTAAACCTTGTCATTTTCACACATACAGTACAGTAACTCAAATTCTTTCAGTAGCACATACACCAAAGAACACTATTGTGTTTATCAACTTTTGCACTATGTATTATGTATTTGTTGTGTTTATAAAAAATATTTATTGTTGAACAAATTCGCAATTTCTTCTACTTGATTATTTCCCTTGTTATTGTCTTTGTTACATTTGATATTGTAAAAATTGTAGAGGGCCAGTTTTTATTTCTATTTATAACCAATACAAATTGGCTGACCCACTATACCTTTCTATCGCTTTTCCGTTTCTTTCACTGAAGTAAATTATATTACATTTCAACACTGCCCGGACCAGGGATTGAAATCACCAGATACACTTTAACCAACGGTCTGTTTTTCGTTGAGAATCTTAAACCTAATATCCCTACTCCTGTGGTTGAAATTTTGAGAGCCCTGTCTTGCTTAATCAGAGTCTCCCAGATGGGGTTCGTCTCTATGCTAGACAATATTTGTCTGAACGTGTCATAAATTAAACTAAACGGTTTGCATTAGGCTGTGTAAACGATTTTATTATCCGGTCTATCAAATGACAGAACGATTTGACAGTTTTATCTCTTTCACCTCTGCTAAGAGTCAGAAACATAAAAACAGGGACACGTTATAAGCAAATAGAAACCATTATTTTGCTTAGAATTCGCATTTAATAACAATATACTCACGGGCGATCGCTCAGATTACGATAAAAACCGAAAAGAAATCGACTCTGAATCACTTTACTCTGTCTCGTTCTTCATCGATACAGCTTGGGCAAAAAGAGTCGTAGTTCTGCCGTTTCTAAAAGTGGACTGATCCAGTGTCAAATACTATTGGAAATGAAAAGAAAACTACTTAAAGCTGTGAACTGTACGATGAAGGAAAGAAAAAAAAAACTTATTTTATTATATAATTATGGCCGTCAAAAAATGTGCTTTTCCTGAGATGGGAAAGGAATATTTTATTTGAAATAAGAAACCTTAAAAAAAAAAAAACATTTTTATGGCAAAAGGTGTGATAAAATGTACTTCAATCAATATAGAATTAAAAGTATAATAATCTCACTCCAGGTGGAATTATAGCAGAGGAACCAGAGAAAAACTAGAAGAAACCATGCAACAAAGAAAATAAAACTTTAATTAGGTATCTCCGTGAGATCGCTGGAATATGAGCATAGCATGATAAAAACGGCCTTAAACTTGACGAAAGCAAAATTTTATTGTCAAAATGTTTATGTTACTATTAAAAAAAAGAAATTTTTTTTTAATTATTTTTTAACATTTTTTCCGACTTTTAGAACATTCTAACGTTTGTTAAAAAAAAAAAAAGCTTTGTTTCTCTTCATCGGCGGAAGTAATAAATAACATAAATATTTGTGCATTATTTCTTTTCATGACAGACATTAATTTTGAAAATCTTGCAAAAATAGAAATAATTGTTGGATTCAAATGAAACTTTCAGAAACTATTCAGGAATGATGGAAATTATTATAAATATGTTATTTTTAAAAAATTTTATGATAAAAATATTTTTTATATATATATTACCCACCCCATAAATAATTTTATGAAAACTCTAGAAATTCAATGTTGAAGCACGCAAGTCATTATATTAGTTAAAAACACAAGGCTTTGAGGAAAGTAAATCATGTTTTGTTTTTTTACAATCGGATCATCTACCTAAAATCAGCTCTGAATTGTAACATACAAAATTATTTTAGGTGAACATTTAATAAAACAAAGATAATTTCAAATGCTTTTAATTGCTTCTAGCTGTTTTTTATGAATACCCATAATATTGTCTGAACGCAAAATCTTTTTCGATGAAAAATGAATTTTTAAAAGAATTAATTGTTATTTCTTAAATTATTTTATTATTTTTACATTAAAGTTGTTAAATATTGTAAAATTAGTGGAAATGGTGAATCCGTTACTTAATGTTTCTTTTTAAGTAGATCTATCTGTACAGATTATAAATTGCATAAGCTTTTTACAATCAACGAGCCTCCAGTTAGAAAACTCTTAGTGTTCCTTGCCTTTTATGTCCCTAAAACGTCTGTAATTCAAATGTACGGAAGCCCAGAAGAAACATGATATAATAAAAACATCACGTAATTTTATTTTGCATATAAATTTTGTTCAGCGCTATTAACGGCCTTTACATTTTGACATTTACATTGTGCGAAACACAAACCAAACATTTCACGAAAATTTCATGAAAGTCTGATACCAGTTGCATTGAATTTCTAAACCTCTGTTCTTTCTTAGCTATGAAAAATAAAATAAAAAAGTGTTTATGATTATGTAAGTATTAGAAGAATGCCTTTTCAATATTGTCATTTAATTTAAGATTAAAAAAAATAACAAAAGAGAAAAAATGTATAGCATTTCAACTTATAAGTGTATCTACAATGTATTATATACCTATCTTATGAAATTTATATGATTTTAGTTTTATATTATCTCAGTTATGTCATTTTTCATAAATTAAATATCAAAATTAATAATAAAATGAGTGGAAATCTAAATACTACCATAAAATGTAATAAATGTACATAAAATATACACTACTGATAATATTTCATAAGAAAGATGACTAAATAATTAGGTGCCTTTCTTATGAAATTTTATCTGCCTTCCTGTCTTATTTAATTTCTTTTTGTAATATTATTATTTTCCCATAAAGCATCGTAAACGTAAAGGTAAACGCTAAGTACCAAAACCAAAAAAAGGGTTAGAGTGCTGATAGTTTTCCTTAAAAAGGACGATGTAAATAAGTTGGTTCACTTAAAGCTAAATTAAATCAATTATGACCTTCCTTACGATAACTTCTCCTCACGTAAAATGTCAGTAAGTGGTGAAATCATCACATGTTATTTGTCAACCAACACCGATGTTAAGACCGGCTTTCTATTATTTTAAAGTAATTTTTTTCGGCGCAAAAAGCGAGTAATGTTTGTTTCAAAATATATTAAATAAACTTTGTAATTTCTAATTTTCTTAAATTAAATTTTGAAAAAATTATAATTGATTTTTAAAAGAATTTTACAGGGAGAACAAAAGTGAAAAAATGGCTGATGATTGATTTTCTGACAAATTTACTGATTCAAAGAAAAAAAAAACAAGATTTTTAACGAAAATTTTGGACGTTCTATGAATGATTAAAAAATGTAAAAAAATATTCATAAAAATACATTGATTTTTACTCTTGATAATAACATAAACATTTCGGCAGTAAAATATTATTTTCAAGTTTAAGAATTTTTTTTCATGCTATGCTATTTTTTATCTATCTCATGAACATAGCTAACTTTAACTGAGTGTGTCAAGCTAGACAGAATAACTACATCGTGTTATCGTTTACAAATGAGTTATTATAGCAGAGTAGCCAGAAGAAAGCCACTTTTTAGACTATTCATCATTAAATATAGAAAGACGCTGATATCTTCATCAAAACGGGTTATTATAGCAGGGTACCCTGCAGAAAGGGATTTTTAAATCTATTCACTATTCAATGTTAAAAGACGCTCATATCTTCTTCAAAAATTGTTATTATAGCAGGGTAGTCAGAAAAGGCTACTTTCTAAATTATTCATTATATATTTTTCAACATCTGTTACTATAGCATGGTAACCAGAAAAAAAACACTTTTTAAACTATTCATCATCTAACATAGAAAGACGCTGATACCTTCTTCAAAATTTGTTATTATAGCAAGGTAACCACAAAAAATCCACTTTTAAACTATCCATGATTCAATATAGAAAGATGCTTTTATCTTCTTCAAAAATTGTTATTATAGCAGGGTAGCCAGAAGAAAGCCACTTTTTAAACTATCCATCGTACAATATAAAAAAACAGTCATAACGTCTTCAAAGCCAGAAGAATGCCACATTTTACATTTTACAGAGAAAGACGCTGATATACTCTTCAAAGAGGATTATTATTATAGCAGTGTAGCAAGGAGAAAGCCACTTTTTTAAACTTTTTAAATTTGTTATTTAGCAGGGTAGCCAGGAAAATATTCACTTTTTAAACTATCCATTATTCAATATAGAAAGACGCTGACATTTTCTTCAAAATTTGTTACAATAGCAGGGTAGCCAGAAAAAAAAACACTTTTAAAAATATTAATCATTCAATACGCTGATATCTTCTTTAAAATTTCTTATTATAGCGGGGAAGCCAGAAGAAAGCCACTTTTAAAACTCCCCATTACTCAATATAGAAACACGCTCATATCTTTTTCAAAATTAGTTTTTATAGCAGGATAGCCAGTAAAAAGCTATTTTTAAACTATTCATCATTCAATATAGAATGACGCACGTAGCCTTTTTAAAATGTGTTATTATAGCAGGCTAACCAGTAAAAGCCATTTTAAAACTCTCCATTATTCAATATAGAAACACGCTCATATCTTCTTCAAAACTAATTTTTATAGCAGGGTAGCCAGTAAAAAGATACTTTTTAAAGTGCTCATCATTCAATATAGAATGACGCTCATATATTCTTTAAAATTGTTATTATAGCAGGGAAGCCAGAAGAAAGACACTTTTAAACTATTCTTCATTCAACATAGAAAGATGCTGATATCTTCGTCAAAATTTGTTATTTAGCAGGGTACCCAGGAAATTATCCATTTTTTAAACTATCCATTATTCAATATAGAAATACGCTGAAATATTCTTCAAAATTTGTTATAATAGCAGGGAAGCCAGAAAAAAAAACACTTTTAAAAATATTAATCATTCAATACGCTGATATCTTCTTTAAAATTTCTTATTATAGCAGGGAAGCCAGAAGAAAGCCACTTTTAAAACTCTCCATTATTCAATATAGAAAGACGCTCATATCTTCTTCAAAAATTGTTATTATAGCAGGGAAGCCAGAAGAAAGCCACTTTTTATACTATAGATCATTTAATACCGAAAAAAGGGTTGTATCGTCGTCACATGAGATATTACAGCTGAACAGACAGAAAAAAAGGCCCATACCAGATATGGGTATTTTATAAAAAACTGAACGAGGGCGTTTGCATTCCTAAAAAAAGGGAAAATAAATCCTTGCTATGACGATCTCTGCGGCCGAACGGTCTTAAACATGCCCGACCAAACGGCGGTTTCTCCTATAAAATGGGACCAAGTTTCGAGCCCTCTCGGATAGCATATTAATTTTATTAAGTTTTCTCAAATGTGTAGACCGATAGACGTAATACATACTATTTAAAATAAAAACGCGGCGTCTACTTCAAACTAAATTATCCACTATAATAACGTTTAAAGTAATAACAACTTTTAATGAAAAAAATAATTCCATTAATTCTTCAGAAATTCCTTTGTTTATGTTTCAGATGAGAAACTGAGCAGATATGGGCTTTCGAGATAATCTGAACGAGAGATTGTGCATTGCTTAAAAGGAAAAATAGAACGTCGAATCAAACAGTGGTCTTCCCCCTATAAAGATGGACGCAAGTTCGTACGCTGCTGGAGAGCACGATTTCTTTACTAGGCTTTCTTCGGCGCGCAGGCTGATAAGCGTAATACACACTGTCTAAAATAAAATAAAACGTCTATTTTAAGCACGGGTAAACATTAAATTAATGTTTGGTATTAATGAGCTAGGTTTAGATAGTTCACGGTTGTCTTTCATCTAACTTTTTAGTCAAAGAAGTAGAAACATTTGCCAGTAATTGTCTAAGCCTTTAAACATCATCGTTTTTCATCGATGTTGTGTTTGTCATCTTCTTTATTAGACCATTACCGACATTTAATTCTCTCAGCCTCATAAACTTTTAAATATCCTTTCCGATCGGCTGCTTGTTAGCTACTTTAGGTCATAGACCATTTGCCGGCAGTTATTTTCTATACCCGATTCACCTTTAAATATCCTTTCCCGGGTATGTGCGGACGGTGAAATGGATAATCGGCTCGGAATGAAAATATCGAAAAGCCGAGTTCGAATTCATATCCCGTGACTACCAAATTTCGCAAACCTTCTTTCTTCATTAGGAGTCCAAGAAGTCTCATTTGTCTCCCGAATCTAAGGGTCCTTTTTGTTTCCATTTTCCCTAAAAGTTTATCGTTAGAAATCTAATTAACAATGCTTAAATAAATAAAATCTTATAATATTATTATTACAAATAGATAGATGTGACCAAGTTGATATATATATATATATATATATATATATATATATATATATATATATATATATATATATATGGAGAGAGAGAGAGAGGGAGAGAGAGATAAGAACATGCTGAGATAGATAGATAGATAGATAGATAGATAGATAGATAGATAGATAGATAAACAACATGTTGAGATAGATAGATAGATAGATAGATAGATAGATAGATAGATAGATAGATAGATAGATAAACAACATGTTGAGATAGATAGATAGATAGATAGATAGATAGATAGATAGATAGATAGATAGATCTGACTGAAAAAGATAGATAGATAGATAGATAGATAGATAGAAAAACAACATGTTGAGATAGATAGATAGTAACAGAGATAGATAGATCTGACTGAAAAAGATAGATAGATAGATAGATAGATAGATAGATAGAAAAACAACATGTTGAGATAGATAGATAGTAACATAGATAGATAGATAGATAGATAGATAGATAGATAGATAGATATCTCGAAGATGCACTTCCACCGAATTATAGTAAATCCACTATTGAAACTTGAGTTCGTACATCTAAGAATCACTCACCTCTAAATTTATATTCGCAATCACAGTCGAAGTTTAAGCATTCGTCTTTGTCTACAAATTCCGCCATATGTATGCGCCAACAGCTATTCCAGCAGTTGATACAAACCCTTAATTTCGCATGCGTACTCTGATACGCTCTAGAACTGAACCTTCTCTCCATTCACGCACGCTCTCGCATTTATTTCTGGCTGTGTTAGCGTTCACTCCGTGCAAACTGAGGTGGCCGGGCGCGTCAATCAGGTCTGAAGAGTAATAAGTCCACAATTCCATGCGAAGCTTGTAATGAAATTACGCTCGACACCGGCAAAGGCCAGGCTAGTCGTAAAAAGACTCCAAATTGCTTCACGCATGCGCATACGAACATATCCGATCGGCAGAACTGAAGGATTTCTCTGATAGGCCAGCGTAGGAACGTGAACTTGGAATTCACGCCACAGAAAGCGCATACAATGATAAACGTAGATACATAGTCACACGAGGTTTACTCGATATCTCATTAACACTCGTGCACTGGGAAGCGGTTTTTCAACATTCCTGAACTAGTGTGTGCAACTATCGGTGAACACGTTAGGCAGATTATAAATATTTCCCCCTTTCTTCTTAATCAGTTGATAGTACTCGCCTTTGCATTCTTAAATTCTGGATAAAAACTTACGCTTATTTTGTATATGGGGGAAAACCATTTTCTGTATCGTTTTAGCGTAAAAGCTATCAGCGGATCGAGTTCAGCTACAACCGTAGACTTTCACGTTAACTTTCGCACTAATAACCTAGGGAAAGGAAAGGAATCCGACACTTGCCCTATTTATGTCTTAAACAGTAACCCAGACCAGCTATATGTAGTCTGAATTCATACCCGTGTAGAATGTAACGGGAAAGGAATCTATGAAGAACGACGATCGCCTACGTCCTTTAAACTAAACAGCGGAGCAGACCGCTATCTCTCGGTTTAGTTATCAAGCGATATAGGAGAACTTCTTCTCTGAAAAAACCGTAGAAATGGCAACAAGAAATCGAATCCATTCTTTCCAAAGGAGTCAATGGAATTCTCAGATAATAAGGAAAATTAAGGTATAGATCATTTACGACGAGAAGTGTTATGGCTTTAAATAACTTGGTAGACTTGGCTCCAGCTAGGGTTGGTAGCCAGTCTAGGAAAAATCTATTCTGATTTTAAGACAGTCGAGAAGGCAACCGGCAGCAATTTCAATATCTTTCTAAAGAAATCGTCGTAAATCACAGATACAGTGTAACCCGGATATAAGAGAGTTCTCGGGACCGGAGAAGAAGTCTCTTATATCCGGGTTTCTCTTATATCCGGGTTTGGTCTATTTTATATACATTAACACAGGTTCTAATTTGGGACCAGAGAAAATCTCTCTTATATCCGGGTTTCTCTTATATCCGGGTCTCTTATATCCGGGTTACACTGTATTAAAAAAAGAAAACTGTGGCGAACCACGATCATGAAAGTCATGAAGGGGTATAGCACTTCTTTTAATTACTTATCTCAAATAGAAAGATATATAAGCAACAAGCTTGAAAGTTGGCGTAGGTTATGCTAATATTGACGACTCCCCCGTGAAGTACAGAACAATATACACGTCTCGCCATGTGCTGCTGCTGGGGTTTCCGGATCAAATATGTTTTATGTTTTATTTTTAAATCATTTCATCCCAAGCAAGGCAATAAATCCACTAAGACACAAACGGTTACTGACAGAACTGTTGTATCATTAAAGAGGTTACAGACAAAGGTGGTACTCGAGTATAGGAACAGCAGCGCGCGGGTAAATCAAACAGAGAGGTTTATTGTAAAAGAGAATACACTACTGAAAAACAGGGAATCAGGTAGCAAGCTATAATTCCCGAAGCAAGCCCCTAGGTATATCCTGTGCTCACTGCACATATTTACTGATATATTCAGTCCACATAGGCGATAGGGAGTGTGGGACATTGAATGACAACGAAAACTATTAAGGAGAAAGAAGAGGAAAAGAACAAGAATTAAGCAGATATTAGATAATGATTGACATTGCATTTAAATTTTTGAAGTTCAAAGTTGACTTGGAAGCAAGGAGACGGAAGAGAGTTCCACAAGCGCGCGATGCGACAGAAGAAACTGCTAACATAGAACTTACGCTTACATTTGGCCATTTCAAATATAAAATGATGAAACATTGCTGCCAATTTAGTACTGCACTTACATTCATAAAGTCTAGGTATAATAGGAAAAAGTTCATCAGAACAATTATCATGAAAATATTTATAGAAATGGCACGGGGAATCTACGTTACGGCCGTCGGACAGTGACTGAAGGTGAGATGCCAAGTCTGGATCAATAGCATTACAGATTATTCTTTAAATTTTATCATGAAACTCTACATGTATAGCAGAAGCACCAGACCATAGCAAGGACGAATGGTAGACTTATAAATATGTAAGATAGATTCAGGCGGGAAAAATTGTCTTGCACGACACACTGAACTAACTTTCCTAGCAGCAGCCCTAGCAAGTGATTTAATATAACATTTCCACTTCATGTCAGTCCAAGAAGGCATAATGTGCATAATTTACTGGAGGTTAGAATCAGCCATGTTGAAGGCAGGTAAAAAGGTGCTCTCACACATTTCTTTGCCTGACTGATATTAAATGATACAGAATTTAGTCTTCCTCTTATTATTATCTAGCTGGATGTAGAAAAGATGGATTCTTACATTTCCAACTGCCCCCACTTTGTATATCAAGCTATTAACCCATAGCTGAAGAGATACTACGGATTTACACATTTTTTTGTCTGTTTTTTTTTTCTTTTCTGAAATTCTGGAATCTAGAGTTACCATTATTTACACCACATACATGAGCACTATTGGATTTATCTTTGTTGTTGCAATCAAAACGTTTCGGGCCTGTTGCTCACCGGCTTCATCAGGTATATACCTCGAACTGGATAACCTACATGGGATTTCGAACAGAAACCGTTATTTAATTTCAGAGCTTATTCTCTTAGACTAAGTTTAATGTTCAAAATTCTCTATCGATAACAGTCTAGAGGATTAAGGCGTTGGTCCGGGAATTTATTAATTGTGAGTTCAATTCCTGAACCGGGCAGTGTATAGATGAAATCAGTGGGAACAAGGCGAGCGATAAAAATAAGAACTACTTATGGGCTGTGGAACGAGAACAGACTACCCTTTCTTTCTTTTTATGTGTCATGTCCTTTCACGACATAGGTGATCATGGTTCTCCACCTCCCTCTATCCCTTGCAGCTCTCAACAAGTTCCTTCCCTCTGCTACTTCCCCCAGACCACGTTCTGTCATCCACTTGCTTAAGTCCGCCAGGTATGTCACGCATTGTTTTCCCTTGTCTCTCTTTCCCTCTATTCGACCCGTGAGTATCAGATTCTCCAGACCTTCCTTCCTCATTATATGTCCCATAAACTTCAGCTGCCTCGTCCTGATATTAAGTATAAACCTCGACCTGAATCCTCTCTACGACCTCATCGTTGCTCACGCTCTTGGTCCATGATATCCTTAATAAATACTACACCCCGAGCCTGAAGTCGAGTGGTCTACGAGCGATTCCTAGTCTCAAGCCCCACGGGGGAGGGAGGGTGTTCGAAATAAGACGGTGACGGCAAAATCCCGCCTTTCGCGGATGTCAAATTAGGTGGCCAGTTCGCGGGCGCCGCCGCGTTGCAAGGGACAGTAGCCGAAGAGGATGCGCACGCCGACGACGAGCGCCACCGACGCAGACTCTGACGACCACGGCCGCTCCTAGCGACGACGACGCCCGCTAATGCAGGCCTCAGTGAAACGAAAAAAGACGATAAAGGATTCAATTAGAAATTCTCTGTAGATCACTCGATGTAGCCTGGAGGGCTTAAGCCGTAACCTTTGGATAACTACAAAAATGAGCTCTATAGCTCGAAAGCAATGTAAATAATAGGTTTATACTTTGAGAGGAGGTATTTGCGAGAAAGGATACATAACTTTTGCTGCTGCGAGAATTTGAACTCGATATACCGATCCAACTTGATCAATGATCTGCTCGGGAAAACGTTTACCTGGAAATCAAATCATTATCTGGATTACAGTACACAGAAGGGAAGAGTTAAACAACTTCAGTCCTTAAACGACCACTATCTATATAATAAATGCAAATGTCAGCGAGCCACCATGTCACACAATTAAAGGGACACAACTCTGTAACAGCTCATGTTACAAAAATTTTGGAGTCCCAACTTTTCATAACTGCGTTTGTTTTCGACGATTTTTACGTGATTATTTGCGACGAACTTTTTGGTACGAAAACTGTTTTTATAAATTGAAAATAAATATGGGAATAATCGAAATTAATTGCGAAATCCAGCGAAATAAATATGGGAATAATCGAAATTAATTGCGAAATCCAGCGAAATAAATATGGGAATAATCGAAATTAATTGCGAAATCCAGCGAAATAAATATGGGAATAATCGAAATTAATTGCGAAATCCAGCGAAATAAATATGGGAATAATCGAAATTAATTGCGAAATCCAGCGAAAGTCACCCATAAGATAAAAATAATTGTCTGTACGGAAAGTAAGGTCCTGCGCCGATAAAATTGTCTTGTTTAAATTAAGCGGCATCAGAAGAGTTATCGTTGAACTTTTAAAATGTAAGCTTAAATATTAATTCAATGCTTAAATGCCGTGATCAATTTTGAGTTATTCTGTAGTTTATAGTTGCCTATGGTAAACAGCAGTAGTATTCCTTGCAAAAAAAAATCTCCGACAACAGAGGACCAGATTGCAATCAAAAGAGCCAAGGCTGAAGCGAGGAAAAGAATGTCCCTTGCAAATGAAAACCCGGATCAAACGGCAGATAGGAGTGTTTCCAATGCTGAGAATATGCAAATATTTAAGGACGCTCAAACTCCTAAAAACATCCGAAGACCCAATCAAAAGTTTGGTTAAGTACCACCCGATAGAGCAGCTATTAAGCTAGTAATATATAAATGTGCAAATTTACATATTTTTTGAAAGACATGTATCTTGATAATGTAAGTGAACATAGCTTTCCACATATTCTGTTTTCGTTATTATCTGCGATTTGGGATGACGTCTTGGGAAATATAGTAGAGTTGTTAATCGTCTCCTTCAGAATTCAGGGGTATACTAGGTTGGCTAACGCTCATGGTAGTCGAGTCCAGACTATCCTGTTATTTAATCAATTGGTTGGTTGGAATGAAACAAAAAAAGTATTCATACTTTTCCCAGCGGCATTACTGCAAATTGAATTCAGTATTTTAAGTTGGAGCTTGAACTCTATCAGTCAATTCTGATTTCTCCATCGTTAATAGTTTTGCTAGCTGCATATTCACAGATATTTGTAAAGAGGTTAACACAATTATAGGCAGCAGAACAAAGCTTAGCCCATAATTGAACAGATATCTCAATACA